GAAGGGTGCTGTAGCATAGTTTCATGGGTGTAAACACACACCCACACGTACGCGAAATCTAGATGAGAGCGGTGTTAGATCTCACTATTGTCCTACATTTACAGACAGTGATTTAGTCTGGATTAGCCAAACAATTATCTAATGGTTTTCTCTCTGATGTTGTACTGCTGCAGAAGATTCAGATCCTGTTTATGAGCCTCCGCGTTCTCTTTGAGCCCGAAAGGAATTTTTGCAGAAAGGGGATTGACTGGGAGGAGCAAGGAAGGCTGCAAAGGAGGGAGCTGGTCTTGGAGCCTACATAAAGATTTCAAATAGTGCAGGGGGTGTTGGAAGCAAAGGGGGGGGCTGGCTTTGAGTTATGAGAGCAGCAAGGGTTTGGAAGAGTTGGTTTCAATTCTTTTGTTTCCATGTTCCTCAGTATTATTTTTCCCTCCAGTCTTCCCGATCCCTGTGTTACAAAGCAGAGACTTCTCTCTTGGCGTCAGTGTGCATCTCCTGGTGACTTCAGGGAGCTTGGGGTAAGGCTTTTAACGAGGCATTTAGAGCTCAGCTGTCTTCGTGCATTACCAGCACATTTTCCTGAGTTGAGCTCACGCCGCTGCGTGCGTGACTGACGTCAGGTTTGGCAGGAAGTTTGCAGCCCTGGCCCGCGGTGTGGATGCAGGTATCGTCCCGTGCTGCGCTGCCCGAGCGCTCCGGCTGTCAACAGGGCCAGCAAAGCAAGGGATCTCCACAGCAGCAGCCAATGGATGTGACCAGGACAAGGCTGCAATTGTTGAGTTTAAAAACGAAGCTTCTAGGTTAAGTTTCTTCTTGGTTTCTCTTCTTTTTTTTTTTTTTTTTTTTTTGTGGTGGTGTTTGGAAATACAATATTTTTTTTTTTTTTAATTTTTTTTTTCCCTCCACCCTGTTCATCTCTTTTTTTTTTTTTTTCTGCAGCTCCCAAAGCAGTTCAGGGCTGGATTCCTCCAGGGCAGAGGGGGAACCAGCTGCAATTACAACTGCAGATGTAAACACTTGCTGCCCTGCCCTGGAGAGTTGAGCTGCCACTGGCAATTAAAGACAGCAAGCAGTTCCTGTGCCAGCATCAATTCTTGCGGCCAGTAATTACTGCCCCTTCCCACAGCCCACCCCAGAGGAAGTGGAACTTCAGCGAAGTAGCATTGGGTTTTTTTCTAATGCTTTGCAGCTGCTGTCAGTCTGTGGGAGTTCCCAAAACTTAAATCTTAAGAACCTCTCCTCTTGTCTTCCTAGTGAGATAAGCTTTCATTTGCAGCAGTGTCCATCCTGTTCAGCAACAAGTTCAATTCAGCCTGGGGACTTTGATCTACATTGTTCTGGCCAGTCTAGTCCTATTTGTTTAGAATTGCATTTGTCTTTGTTTAGAACTCATAAATGATAACATTTCCTCCAGGAACACGGGTGTTGCTGTTGATGTTAATGCATTATCAGAAGATGACCACGTTATATGCTTTCCACTTTAAAAAAAAAAAATAAAAATTATATGGGTTTGAAAGTATGGCATATACACACATGAAAGAAAGTGCATGTAAAGTAGACCAACACGGAACTGACTAGTTTAATTTTTTTTTTTCCTTTAATAAATATAGAAGTAACTCCTATATAAAATGGGGCTAATAATTCTCCTGCCTGTCATGTAGGGGCTGTAGAGTTTCCTGAGATCTTTAGAGAGCAGTTGAGAAATGTAAGTTATCATTGCTGGATTTCCTCTTCCTGTACAGACACAGCGTTTGGCTGACACGCTGTGAAATGTGTACCAGTTATCAACATGTTTTCAGTTTCAAGGGTCATTCAAAAATTCCTTTTCTCAGCTGTTCTGGGGAAAAAAAATAAATTATAGAGACCATTGACACCAGAAGAATCTGTCATGACAGTGTTTTCTGCGTTTCTGTTTAGAGCTTTTGCAAAGAGGCTACTGAAATATTAATAGCTTTCCGCTTTGTGAGCCATCACGTTGCGGTAGTGCGGTCTGTGTATCCTTTCTATGTTCCCAAAACACATGTGGTTTAGATGCCTTTCATATATTTTAATACAAAGTGGCTGGTTGAGTGGTCCATGTTCTCCCGGAGGAGCCAAAACTCGCTTCACGGATCAGGAAAATAAAGGCCTATAAAGCAATTTACCATTCAGGCTATTGTGGAGGAGAGTGATTTAAAATGTTGTAGTGGCTTGAAAAAAAAAAAACAAAAACCCAAAGCAGTGATTGAAAGGCTTGAAATGACTGAGTTAATGTGACAACTCTCCCTCTGCTGGGTCTATTGCAGAGGTGATCATGCACAGTTAATGTGTGGCGGAGCTCAATGGTACCTGTTTGCAGGACTTGCTTTGAAATTAAGAGTGAGAGATCATTTATTTAATAGACAGCATTAAAGAATGAGTTTCTGATGAAGCAAGTTAGGTGTTAAACACTTTTCAGGTGAACCATTTACTTATGTAATTATCTCTCATTTACATTATAATAAATGTTTCTCCAGGGAATTTAGCCAATCATGAAATGCAATTAATTTTCAAATGCTCTTCAGCAACAATTGACACTCCAGAGACCAAAATCCCTATTCAGTGTGTGCGTTTTTAAACTCTACTGCTAAAGGGAAGCTGTTTCAGCTCCGTTGATTGCGCAGTTGTTAAATTTTAGGTTTTTTAACAACGTTTCATACATGCCTATTGCTATTGGTGGGCTCGATACCCAGGTTGAGGGGTACCGGTTGATACCCAGAGCACTGAGGAGGTTTGGGATGCTGTTCTTCAAATGAAGCCCAGAACTCACTTCAGTGATGTCAGAGAAGTTTAAATGCCCTTGGTTTCTATTTCTGACTCCAATTGCTGTATGAGACTGGCTGGGGCACCTAGCCAGCTGTTTTGCAGTTTCTCCGGATGTAAAATGGGAGTAACATAAAGCTCATGTCTCTGAGGTGTACGTGGAGATGTATGGAAGGGTCTGGTTGGTGACTCTAGAGTATCTCCGGACAGCATACTAAGTATCACGCTGCTTAAGTTTACTTAATTCACTTTCTGACCTAAATGTCGTTACAGTCACTTTTGTTCTAAGTCTTATTAGCGCGCTGATAAGATAAAATAATCTCTGGAATTCCACCTTTTACAACTGTACTTGGTCCAACAGCTTAGAAAGCTTTTCAAGAATGGATTAATTTTACTGTGGCGTTCAGTTTTCAGAGGAACTGCTGCTGTGGTTGGAGCAGGGATCTCCGTTTGAACGGAGCCGGCTTTTTAAAAGTGGAAAGGAACAGAGTGATTTGTTAGCCCTCACCTACTGCAAACAGACCCGTTTCTGCAGCTGGCTCTGCTTTTTCTGATGTTAAACCTTGGGCCCCAATGCGGATACTGTTCCGGCCGTGCTGGGTTGAAGGGGACGGATGGGCTGGGGTTGCAAAGGGCTCACAGCGGCTGCGGAGCCTCTCCAGCCCTGAGCAAAGCAGTGGAACCTGCAAACCTCATCTATTTGGAGGCTGAAGAGGAGGAAGAGCTTTTATCCTTTCATGCTTGGAAAATCCAACGTCAGAAAGCTCTTGCTCAGTGATATTCTCTCTTCATAGCAAACAAATGAAACCACTTTGGTTGAATTTGTGCATTTTCCTGAGGCTTTCTCTTCAGCCAGGGGTAAAGAGGAAAGGAGGCTTTATTTACAGATGTTGCTTTTGGAATGAATCTGGCATGATGATATTATCTGTAAATACATCTTTGGGCATTAGACATCTTTCCATTTGTTTAGAAACAGGATAGAAAGATTGTCTGATATGGGAATGAATACTTGATGAGTTTCTCTACTCCGTTTTGTTGCCTCGGAGTACATACGCTGTTGAAATGAGTCTGTATCTGCTGTTGGATGGTCCTGTTGCTTCCAGCAGAACACTAGCATTTTGAGTTTGACTGACAAATCTTATTTCTCTCTGTTTAAACTCACCTCTAAACATAAGAGACCAGAATGTGACTTCTTGTGGGAGGCAGTTGCCCCATGGCTGCTTGCTCTGGGCTGTCTGCGATGTTTTCGGAGGTGTCCCTGGGACCCAGCCCAGTGGGATTTGGGTCTGAACTCCTCAAACTGTTCATACGTTCCCTATAAATACAGGGCACGTAGTGGGTTTCGGGCAGCGTGGATTTTGTAAGCACCTACACACAGATCACAGTCAGATCATTATGTTGACCTAAACCATTTTGTAATCCTCTACAATCTGGGTTTAGAGAGTGTTATTAGTGTCACAAATAAAAGCTTGTGACTTCTTTAGTTCTCAGGATAAAAGAAGGCACGTACTTCCAGAGAATTACGTATTAAAATTAAAGCAACATAAACGTGCAGGAATTCGAGGATAGTTATCTCACTTCTCAAGACCGAGTCCTGAATTCAGAAGATTGCAAGAGAGAAATTGATTCACTTTAATTTCATAGTCGACTGTGTACTGAAGGAGCTGAGTTAAACCAGGAGGACAAGGCATGAAGGAGTCTTTTAAAAAAAATCATTCTCTCAGTAACTTGAAGCTTTAAACATGGCTACAAGGAAGTGTCTTTTGTTTTGTTTTTTTTTTAAAACTGAACATATAGGAAGGAAAAGGGAAGTGTAATTTGTTTTGTTTTTTTTAAAACTGAACATATAGGAAGGAAACCCCTTTTTGCCCAGATAGATCTCAGATCTAGAGATAGAAATGGATAAAAAGGTAGTTAAGAGTTCTGCTTTCTCTCAAACTCATGAAAAGCCTCTTCTTCATCAAACTGATACCGAAAGGCACAATAGAAAGTGATTTCGGCTGTTGTTAGCATTGATGTTTGTGGCCTTGTAACTGGTATCTTCCCCTTACAGCCAGCCAGCACCTCCCAGTCTGTTACTGGGGGGGAAAGCAGGGGAGGGAGTGGGCATGGCGGGGATGGATGTGGCCGGGGTTGACCTGGGCTCTGCGGGGTGGTTGGATATTGCCTCTGACCAGCGTCCTGGCTCTAATCTCCTGCTTTTGGCTTTCCTCCTGCAGTTACCTGAAGGAGTTCCGCACGGAGCAGTGCCCTCTTTTCGTGCAGCACAAGTGCACTCAGCACCGGCCCTACACTTGCTTCCACTGGCACTTTGTCAACCAGCGTCGTCGCAGATCTATCCGCCGCCGGGATGGTACCTTTAACTACAGCCCTGACATTTACTGTACCAAGTATGACGAGACCACAGGAATCTGCCCAGAAGGAGATGAGTAAGTAAAGGATGCACCCTGCTTTTCAGGCATCAGGCTTTTGGGATCGGTCCAGGTGATGATTCCAGCCAGTTCTTGTAGAGATGAGGCAAGTCAGCAGTAAAGCAGCTTTGGAACATACAGAACATGGGAACAGATGTCAAATCTGTAATAGCAGCCTGTGTGCTCCAGGCCTGCGGCGGGGATGATACTGAGGGTGGTTTAGAGGGATTCAGTTCTTGCATCGTTCACTGTCCTCATGAGCCTTGGCATCAAGACCTGTCAAATAATAGGTCTTGCTCACTAACAGGGTCGCTAAGTTTTTAACTGATTGCTGAAAGAGGAGGAGCTTTGTCCTCTAGTCTGCCCCCTGAATTATCTCTCCCCAGCTTTTTGAATCATAGCAGTTACTTGCCAGTCTTCCTGAACTTTTAAGAAGCCAGCAGGGAAAGATGGGTAGCCAGAATAATGCAACATAAGGAAGAGTTAGTTTTATTGGGACTTCTCTCCATGTGACTGCAGTAAGTTTATCTGGAGCAGAGATGGATTTGGCAGACTCCAGCAATTATAGGGTTAAACCAGTAATAGAACCTCAGCCCTGACAGATATGGAAGAATAAATAATGTAGCCAAACTGTGGTCAAACATAAGGACTGTTTTATATAGAGATGCTATAGAAAGATGGAATTTCAATTCCCTTTCATGGTGCCAGTGTAAACACACAGAAAAATGCTATTTATCAGGAAAAGAATATTTTTTTATTTACCCAATCAAGATCTTGTGACTACAGTAGAATAGAATAGTCCCTCAGCCTGAAGCCTCAGTTTTCGATACTTTCTTCTGTGTTAAAAGAGAACTGGAAGGAACTGGAAATAGGGTATTTGATCACTGGTTTGTATCTGGCTCAAACTCAGTGAATGAAAACTGTTGCCATCTCAGAACTCTTTGCTGATTTGTACTTTTAGCTTGATGCTGTAATATCTAAACCTTACCTATTCCATCTTGTTCTTTTTTTTATTTCTCAGTGTAGATTGTTCTTTTTGAGTTTAAGAGAGGAAACAAAACATAAATTAAAATAGCAGTGTTGTAATTCTCCTTTCTTGTCCCGTGCTCTGCATGAAGGATGCATCTGGCTATAGATAGACTCTCGCAGCCCTGTTGGAGTGCATCAGCAGGAAACAGTAACAGCACAAAGTCTAGATGGGCTGCTGAGGAAATACTGTGTGCCATGTGATGTCCCCTCAATCATGGCTTGGATATCAGAACGCCTTGACAGCGTCCTTGCTCTTTTCCAGATCCCTGGCAGTCACTAGGCTAGAATAATAACCTGCTGCCGGCTTGTCTTTTCGGGAGGGAAACTATTATAAACTGTGTGGTGACAGTTTTAGGGGTTCTGTGTAGCTTTGGAAAGTGCAGCATAAGAGAAGGGGCAGAGTTAGCAAAGGTGGTGTCAGCTGCAGCATCCTGTGTCGGCAGTATGTCTGCTGGTAATGGTGAGTCCACCAGCTGTGTGACTACACTTGGACTGTTCTTCCTCTCCTTCTGTACCTCAGGTGCCCCTTCTTGCATAGAACTACTGGAGACACAGAGAGGAGGTATCACTTGCGCTACTACAAAACTGGAATCTGCATCCACGAGACAGACTCCAAGGGAAACTGCACCAAGAATGGAGTCCACTGCGCGTTCGCTCACGGGCCCCATGACCTGCGCTCTCCCGTGTATGACATCAGGTTGGTAGAGGTGGAGGCCCTGTGTGAAAAGGGAAATTTCTGTACCTAAATGGAAAGTCAGATGATTGAAGGTGTGAAAAACTTAATGTTAGACTGATGGTGATGTATCCCTTCCCAGTGCTGCAAAATCTGCAGGGAGGACACTCAAATGGAGGAGGGGGCCACACTTTAAACTAGTTGTGCTGTGGTTTGGAGTCTGATGGGGGGAACGTGTGTCCAAATAAAGTATCTGGAATTCCCAGGGAATAAAGAACATGAATTGCAGTTGCTGTTTGACTGAAGAGGTTCTGACAAAAAAAAATGCATGAATGAAATGCACCCACTTAGGAATTGTTACCATGGTCCAAAATGTCAGTTTTTATACGCATTTATTTGTCTCTTCATCTGCTCAGTCTGTATGTTCATTTAACTCTGTCCACGAAGGGAGCTTCAGGCAATGGAGGCTTTGCAGAATGGTCAGACTACATCAGAAGGTGGCATAGAGGGTCAGTCTGCGGTCGCTGCTAGCCATGCTATGATAGAGAAAATACTCAGTGAGGAGCCGAGGTGGCAAGGTGAGTGTCACTTAGGATCTGGGGAAGTCTGGTGTTCATGAAGTCAAAAACTTCTGTATAGTGAATGCAGGTCATGGTCATCTCCCACTCACTGGTTGCCTCTTTTGCAGATACAACGTATGTGTTGGGAAATTACAAGACGGAGCAATGTAAGAAACCCCCCCGTCTCTGTCGCCAGGGTTATGCCTGTCCCTACTACCACAATAGCAAAGACAGAAGAAGAAGCCCAAGAAAACACAAATACAGGTACTGTAGTCCTGGATATTCTATTTCCCAGCTGAGTGCTGAGGTGCAGTAGAAGTCTGTAATGAAGGATCTAGCATTTTGTCCACTAGATCGGTTTTTATTGTGTCTCCAAGGCCTGTACTGACAGGTGTGATGGGCTGTTATTTCTGCTTAGGAGACAGAGTAACAAATAAACAAAGAGTTTTGCTTTATATAGGAACCAGTATAACAAATGACTGTTGCTAAATCATGTTACAACTCTGGTTTTATGGCAAACAGAACCTGTGTCTGGCTCCCGCTTACCATATAAACTCCTGCTTTAGAAAGTGGTGCAAGAAAAAGAAAAGAAAAGCGAGTTTTAATCCCCATCTAGAAACAAACTCACACAGCAGTGTTTTCATGGTAAAGGGTTCTGAATCATCAAGCTGCTTGTTGTGTGTGCCTGGTGATGGGGATCGTGAGGCACGGTGTGACCAGTGCTGTAGCTGGACATGCATTCCTAACCAGCTGCTAAAGACTCTGCTTTAGAGACACCGGGGTGTTCCTGTCACTCAGCTGTCGCTGGATTTTTCAGCGTGCTGCGTCTCCCTCGACGCATTTCATCCAAGTTATAGGCCCTCATTTCCTCCAACACAACAGAGCTTTTGTTGCGGTCTCAGTGGGGCTTTTCCTTAGTTCCTTTTTGAAAAACATAAGAGCAGACCAGAAAGCCAGGAGAGAAAATACCAGGGATGTTCTCACTTCCCTTCCCCACCCCCAACATTCACAGAAATTTTGGAATTGGCACTGAAATCCTGTAATAAAAAATAATAATAATAAAAAAAAACAAAACAAAGGAACATTACCCCAAATTTCAGGAGAAACAGAAACACTAAGCCAGTCTTCGGGCAGCAGCCGTGTTCTTTCTGCCTGTGCCTGGGTCCTTTGGGAAGGGAAGAGTGGAAAGCTGCTCCCCTCCTGATTTCCACTCATTTCTGTGTTGCTTTCCCCACCCCCAGCTGATGTGGCTGCCTTTCATGCAGGCTCTGCTGCTGCTATCTGCTTCCCTCTGCTGTTGTGTGAGGGAATGGTTAAGAGCATAAAAAGCAGGGGAAGTAGGTCACCACAAAAATTCAGACCTGGGAAAAAGAACTGTTCCTGGCTGGGAGAAATAAAATGGACTTGCCTTTTCCCCAGTGACCTGACTCAGCTTCTTTTCCACGTGGCCATACTATAACCCTGGAAACATACCACTGTAAGGGTATTATGTGTTTTAGGATTAGCCAATTAACTTATTAACTTTCTATGAATGTACAGTTCCAAAACAGAAACCAGACCCAGCATCTCTGACGCTAATCACATCAGCTGCTAATATTGTTGGTTCAGGTTGCATTCAGTTTCAGATGGAGAGCTAAGCCATGCTTCTCTCTTTGGGAAATTGGAAGGGGGGAAGATGATGTGGGGGCTGGAGGAGCAGCAGCCAGCCAAACAGATTGTACAGCAGAGGGTGGACAGCCAAACCTGCCTCTCGAGTGAGGAAGGAAAGTTCAAAGCACGTTTCTCCTGCTACCTTTTTTACACAGATCTTCGCCATGTCCCAGTGTGAAACATGGAGATGAGTGGGGAGATCCCAGTAAGTGTGAAAATGGAGACTCATGCCAATACTGCCACACTCGCACAGAACAGCAGTTCCACCCAGAGGTACAGTAACCTGCTCACTCGGTTTGGTGTCTGCCTAGAGGAGCAAAAGCCTTCCAGTCTCACAAAGTAAATTAGTGTGCCAGCTGGGAGGGCTGCTTGCAGCATGGACCTGGGGTACAGAGAAACTGCATGTTGGAAGTAAGCTGAAGTTCAGCTGCTTGACAAGGGTACCTTTTCATTAGGTAGGCAACATGGGAGGAGGTAAGAAAAGTAGGGGGAAACTCCAGTGTAAGAGCAGTCTCATATATGGGGGTCCTTTTGAAAGCATGATGTGGGTTTGCAGGTGAGCATCCAGCACCTGGTTCCTTGAGGAAAAAATCTTGGTTGATGACGATCGCTCTAAACCATAGACACCCGTGAACTGGTGCTGAAAGGCACAAGGCTCTTAGTTGAGAGCCAAGAGAATTCCAATATCCTTACAAAAAGTGTAATTAAGACCTTGTCCTAGTCTGCTTCATGTTACAGTGTTGAAAAGCTTTGTTGGGCCTGTATCGGCAAAGTAACCATTGTCACCGCCTGTCAAACTGGGGGGAAGGGGAATAATCCATTTCCTACAATCATTGTCAACGGTTTGTTATTTTCCTTGCAAACGTGTGGCTGTAGCTTTCTGTGCTCTCATCTGTCACCTCTTTTTTTTCCTACCTTTTACCATTTGTAATATCCATGGAGCTTCCAGTGAGACTGAGGGACTTTATGGCAAATGGTGACCTTTGGGTGAGCTGATGTGTGATGGGTTGGTCTTTGGGTGAGCTTAGCTGCAATGGGCATATTCTGGTGTTTCTGTAACTAGAGTGGGTTTTCCTTTCTTTGAAGCAAAGCAGTGAAATGGTCACCCTGAGCTCTGCTGGCCTCTGCGCCTTTTATCCGTGTTCCTATCTTGCTGTTGAGTCTCTCTGAAGTACTTTTGTACCTGAGCTGCTGGTCACTGGTTTTTCCCATTCATGTCTGGTTTGTTTTGTTTTGTTTCTTTTTTCCCCGTTCTTAGATCTACAAATCCACCAAGTGCAATGATATGCAGCAGTCTGGCAGCTGTCCCCGAGGACCCTTCTGTGCCTTTGCACATGTAGAACGTACGTGGGCTGCTTCTCTTGTCTTCCATGAATATTTGAGCTATGGAGAGCTTCTGGCCAAAATAGGTCGTTTAAAATACAGGGCCATTAAGCTAGAGCTTCTGTGAAGTATTTTCAAAACCAAAAGTATTAACCTTGATAATTCCTATAAAACTATGCTGGCGTGGGAGGTGTTGGCAGAGCTGAAGGCAGTAGGAGTCTGTAGGACTCAGCCCTCGGTTCTCCCTGCACTGTCTCTTGAAGCATCTCCCTGTGTTCCCTCTCGCTCGCTTAGTTCCCTGTATCTCACTTGGGGAGGACTGGAACAGAGGGAGCTGCTTTTCTTATGTACATGGATGAACTGTACCTAGCTAAGTTGTAAAATGTTCTATTTTAAAATGCTGAGGATAAACTTGCTGTTTATAGCTGATGTATTGATCTGTTTTAAAAATCAAATACTATTTTACTATTTATAAAGTTTTGCTTAGAGTTTAAATCTTTAAGTCAGGCTGGAGAAGAAAAAATATGCAGCTTTTTTGGTCCGCTTTCCTTCAAATCCTCTTTTCTCAATAGCTCCCTGATTTATAGGGCATTATTTCAATCCTCACTTTCATCATCTGTAAACCAGCAATGCTGTTTTGGTTGTGGGAATTCTATATTCAGGTAGATACTAACATCCATAGATAAATGCTTGGTTCCTGGTCCTACGGCTCCTACTCAGTTTCTGCACTCCAGTCTCACTGATGAATTTGCAGCAATTAGAGCAGGTTACTCAGAAGTCAATAGCTTGGCTCTGATACTGACTCACGACATGGCTTTGAGCAAATCTCTTTGTTATTTGATTATCCTTCGTAAATGGTGGAATTAGTAATTGCTGCCTTTGTCAAGGAACGGTGAGAGTAAATTCCCTACTGGTTATGCAGTTCCTTTTATAGGAAGCCTTGTCGACAAGCAGTAATTAGAGCTGGAGCTGTGGGCTGTAATGGCCCAAAACACAGCAGTGCAACTCTGCAGTATGATCCAGGAAGCTTAAGAGAAAATGAAATCTTGATAAAGAAACAGTGTTTAGCAAACTCCCTTGCGTATAACAGAGTATTTTTGTTTAGGAGATGCTTTATTCCTAACAAGATTACTGCACTTAATACTATCCTACTTCAAAGCCAGAGTAAACTGGCTATTCTGTGGCACTTGAGTCATTCTGACCTGGTTATTTCTTGTGCTGTCTTATGGAATTGTATCTTTTGGTATTTTCTTAGCAAGGTGAACACCGAGAGCCTAATTCAATTAAAATAATAGGCATCCATTTATTGTATTTACTCTTAGCATGAGTTTTGCTGATTATTAGCAAGAAATGTGTTGAAACCAGTAGGTTAAAGATAATGTGATACAGGCATAGTGTTGGTTATATATTTTTTTTGTACAGATGCTGAGCAGTGTAAATACTAGAAGTCTACAGCATCTCTACCTTCCAAACCAATGACACTTTCTTTTTGTGGATGCCTTTTTATGTACATTACTCTTTTTTTTGGTAATGTTGTGTACTAAGTGCAGATGGAAACTTATCTTCCTCAGCTAATTATAATGCACCCATCAACTTTGTGCCTAGCAATGAAGAAAGCTTTGGTTAGTTCAAGACAGCTGAATGAATAACACATAATTCATGCAGGGAAGATAATTTTGGACCAGCTTTAATGGACTAAAGAGGAGCACAGTGTACAAGTGATGACAGTAATAATGTAAGGAATATTAGATAAGTAGTAACCATTTGCTAGATAGGATTTCTCCTTCCTTCTATACGTATAAGTAGATGCTTGTGGACTATTTCTTCTTTCAAGAATATCTAGGCGTTCTTGTTTTTAAACATCTTGTGCTCCGTTGCAGTTGTATAGCTTTGAGTAATGTTCAATGTGCTTTTATTATTTCCAGAGCCTGCGCTCAGTGAAGATTTACAGCAATCCTCCACTGTGTCCAGCCCGACACAGGCAGGGCCCGTGATGTACATGCCGTCAGCGGCTGGCGATTCCGTTCCCGTCAGCCCTTCCAGTCCACATGCCCCAGACCTTAGCAATGTATGTATCACTCTGGGAAAGCCTTCTACATACTCTATAAACCTGGGTTTCTCTGAGTCTCTGTACTTCTTTCTCCCAAGAACAGAAGTCTTAAGAATCCAAAAGCCCAAAGAATATGGTATTTTTCTTTTGGATCTCAGCTCTGTGCTTTTTAGAGGGATCTGTTTGTTTGGAACATACAATTCAGCGGCTTTAGTATTGTCCTCTCACCTATAAAATTTCTAAGCCTTCCTTTCTGTGCAGTTTGTTGATGTACTTTCAGGAAAGTGGAATACATCTGCACATGAAGTCCAACTCCTTCCTGTCTGGAGGTACATATGGGGCTTAGTTTCCAAGTACTCTAATTAAAGGCCGTGAGCCAATAACGTCTAAAGTACATAACCACAGTCGAGTTTGTTTACATATGTAATCTCAGAGGCTTAACCTGTGCATATTGTGTGTTGCATTATAGGATATCCTCGATTCCCTCCCTCTCCTACTTCTGGAGGTAGCTGAACTCTATGTTTAAGGAATGCCCCAAGTTGTTGGTAGTTCTTTGTTTTAGTTGTGCAAACAAGAAGGAAGATCTTTAAATGCTGACCAGATACACACAGAGAGATAAGAAGCCCGTGGAATGCTAGACCACTTCATTTTTCCTGAGATTTTTTTTTTTTGCTCGTTAAGTCTTTCCTGTTTGCAGTACTGTTGATAAGGTGTGTAACCTTTTCAAATGGTTGGTTGAGGTTTTGCGAAGGTAAAATGACATGAGTTTAACTCATTTGAAACTGGTCAGGAAGAGGTGAACTCATTTAGGACCTCTGTTTTATCTTATTCCCCTTCTTTGAAAGGAGAGGCTGATAGTTTGATTTTATTAGTGCCAAAGCCAACCTAACAGTTCATAGTTCTCCTGAATTTGATTGCAGCTAGAATTCCAAACAGATCTTGAAAAGTCTGGACATAATATTTTCTCTCACTAAATAACACTGTGGAAAGCCATAAAAAACAAACCCCCTTCATCTTAGGGATGTATCATCTAGATTCTCTGAAAACTGCAATGAAATGGAAGATATCTTCCTTTTAATAGACTGTTTAGGTCTTTTTTTATCTCAAGCTCTTAGTCTTTTAAACAGTCTTTACTAATCCTTGGATATGTGCCAAACGGCAACACATGTCTTTCTGTGACTTCATCACTCCACAGGGCCTCTGCATGTAGCTTGCAAACAAATATGGCTTTGCTGGTGATCATTTTACATGATGAATTAATCAGAGAAAAAGGTCCCTCTAGCAGCCAGCCTCACGTGGCCTGTTCTGTTTTGTATTTGTACTGTAGGTGTGGAATAAATCAGGAACTCTGCCAACTAGCCCCACCTCCACCACAGTGAGTAGTATCTTTGCGACTGTAGGGAAGCATGGACAGCAGAATGTCTGTATAAAAACAAAATCAAAACATTGTAGGATGCTCCTTCTTCCTAATGCCAGCCCAGACTGTGCCATATCAGAATCTGTGGTAGCAGGAGCTGTCTAAATGTTGTGTGAAGCAGAGTCACGCTTGCCAGTGCAGGCAAATAATTTCTTGTCCCAGAGAAAGGGGATCTCTGCATTGATTCTTGTTGGTGCTTTCTCTAAAACTTGTCTCAATATCCTTTGCTGCTGTCTGTGGCTTCATCTACAGTGCAAAACTAGCCTTGTTGCATGTGGTTGTGATCCCTGGTTATAGTCCAAAGAATGGAATTGTTGGAAATCCTTGGGTTTTTTTTAATGCAGTTGTTGGTATTTGGCTTGTGCCTGCATTAAAACTTTCAGATTTCCAACTGGAAAGCAAAAGATAGAGTATTACATGTAGCTCAGATATGCTTGGTTGTTCTGACTGCCATAGCATGTTTCCAGGTTTCACACCATTACTCAGAGTGCAGACAGGATCCCCTGTAGCTTAAGGAAAGCGAAGAGAGTTTTGGACAGCTTTGGAAACTTGATCAGTTGCATCTGAGGCCTCAGAAAGAGTAAACCTCACTAGAGCTGTAGGTTGGTTTTTATAAGACTGCACTCCAGTGCAAAGTAATGACAATAAAACCAGAATTGTGGGACTGTCTATCCAGTATCTTCTGGAACCTTTACCTGTTTCTGAAGTCCTGTTTGCCAGAAGCTTGTATGCTTGTGGTGACTGTCAGTATAATCAATGCAGAGTGAAGTGAATGAGCTCTTCTGTGGGATGCCTCTCCTCTTCAAGTTGTCGCTGTTGGCTGTACTTTCCTGACACTTGTTCCTTCTATTAGATTCTTTGTAGGAACAGCAGTCTCGGAAGCCCATCTAATATATGTGGGTCTCCTCCTGGCGCCATTGGAAAGCCACACAGCTTGGAGACCATTGGTTTTCCTCCAGACTCAGTAACAGCAGCTGGCAGCTACAAGAAAGCACCGGGGTTTGAGCGAGAAGATCAGGTGGGGGCCGAGTATTTGAAGAGTTTCAAATGCCAGGTTAGTAGGGAATATTGGCTGGAAGAGTTGGGGGGGTTGAGGAAGAATGAGAAATTGCCCAGTTTAGTTTGAATGTATTTTTATTTTTCATGGAACAAAAATGAGAAAGCACTGTTCTCATTAGCAGTTCTCAGATCTTTGCTGTTGCTTTCAACCTCCCTTCCAGTCTCTTCCATCTTACATCTGTTCTTGTCTGCCCGGCTGCCATCACACACTGGGTTTGTAGAAGTCAAGTTGCTGCTTGTTTTCCTAATCCCTCACAACTTCTGTCCTGTGTTGACCCTGAGTAGCTTCCCACATATCACTTCTTGCTCTTTCTTTTTCCATATTCAGATCCTTGCCAAGAGTTGCTGTTTCTCTTGCTGTATTGTCTCATGGAAACTCATCCTTCCTTCTCTGTTATCACTCCGAACTCTTACCTTGATCTCCGTGACTTGGTTTGTCTTCTCTTTTCACCATTCATTTCTTGGGTGTGTTAGAAACGTCACATTGGTTGTCTCTTCTCTGGCTGTATCATTCTGATCCTTGACTCTCTCCTGTGGCTTCTGTATTAGATTTTTAATTCCTCATTCTCATTTGAAGAACCCTCTGCAATCTTACGCAACCTACATCTCTAATGACATTCCCTCTTACGTCTTTTGGATGTCCCAATGTTGCCTTGCTGCTCCCTCAGTGTTCTCCTTCTTGGTGTCGTGCCCTAATCAGATGCTTCCTAAACCTAGAACAGTCTCTTCCATCTCTTGTGCCACACGTGAGCTTTTCCACAGTCAACTTCTTATTGTGAATTTCCTTTCTTGATGTTACAGTTAATATTTTCTCTGCACCATCCTTTCCAAATCAGCTGAGTCTAACCCAAAGCTTGGGGCTCATTTTTTATTCCTCACTGGATTTGTAAATGTAATAGAACAACATCTTGATTTAAAGGAAGGAATAGTTATTTTTATAGAGAGGTGCCTGAAAAAAAATTTCCTACAAGTTCTTTTTAATAAAAAATATATATAAAAAGGAATGAAAATACCTGGTTTACATTGCTTGAAAACAGAGGTGACAAGAAATGCTGCTTTCAGCCTTTTCAGACATTTAGACTCTTGTCTGTAATATTAAAGAAGCTAGATTTAATAAGCTTGTATTGCTGCTAGTGTTGCACTGCTGTGAGAAAACAGTGGAAATATCCCGTCCAGACAAGATCTTGCATAAAGTAGTTGGATTTAGAAGCAGACTCCGTGGGTTTTGTTTTATTTATTTTTACAACTTTGGGAAAATATGACCAAACTTTGCAGTAGGACCAGTCTTGAACACTGTTTAGCCTAATTAAAATGATTTAGTGACAAATGCAGATTAAGCTATATGCATGCATGCTTTCTTATAAATGCTTCCATTGTCTTGCTTAACGTGGATGTGGCTTAGGAAATTGCAAATTGATGCAACACGTCTTTGGGGGTAAAGAGCAGACCATGCTGTGATCCTGGCTCTTCTTGCGGGCACAGCAGCTTGTAGCAGTTGTTTAGAAACAAAAGAAAAAACATGTGCTCGTTCTCTATTGCCTCTGCTGCAAAGCAGGAGTGAACCCAAAGCCCAAGGACTGAGAGAACCCCTGTTTCCTGCCAGCAGAGGCAGGGTGCCAGGGAGGCCCTGCTTTGGAGAAAATGGGCAGCAAGCCTAAGCCAAGGAGAAAAGGGATGGAGCATGAATAGGGCTTTTAAAAGGAGGGCCAGATGATGAGCATTTATGTCTGAAGTCCAGGATGTGCTACAAAGATACTGTATTCAGGTAGCTTCTTACTCATGTGGCTTTAATTAAGAACCTGTGTTAAATGACTGGCATAAATAGCTGTTAAGATATGGGTGGAAGTAATCACAGTATGCTAGGCTTCTACAGACAAAATTAGGTGTCTCATAAGTGTCCTGATTTAATTTTCTTTTAATCTGTAATTACTTACTTTTTAAAATCCTCTGTAATTCCCTTTGGTTGCAATAGACACCAGAGATTCCCATATACCCTTTAAATTAGTCCAATAATTAGGCATTTAACTTGGTTCACTCATATTTGAAAACTGAAGAGACGCTCTGGCTCAGCTCTGCAATTCGCTTGTCATTTTTCCTCTGTAGAGTTAGTACAAATGGTTTCTATCTTATTAGAATGAAAAATGCACCTTCTGTGTTAATAGGTTCCACATAGTTTGTGGTAAGGCTGAGCCAGCAGTTAAAGTTAAAAATACTTTTCCTGAGTCCCAAAAGGTTTAGCAAGCTGGAAAAATGCTGGCTGCACTGGAAGGATTTGAGTGCCACGACCAGGAGGTGTTCCCGAGTCCTGACACACAGAACAGTAGGTTTGTTCCATGCTGGTCAGAAAACACTCAGTTTCACTCATAATTTATGTCCCCTGTTTTCTACCCTGGCTGCGACAGAGTCAGCTGGAGAATTTCAGCCTGCCCTTTGAATTTCTGTCTCGATGTGTGCCCCTTTTTAATGTTATTCAGAGCTAAAGGAGACTGGTGACAATTGCTTTGCTCTATTTTTCACTCGTGTTACGTGAATTCAAGTCAGCGAGGATTGGGACTAGCTTAGAAACGTATTCACTTTTTCTCCTCCTTAAAGGAAAAAAAATAAATAAAAAAAACCCTATTCCAGTAAGACTTAACTGCAGCAGAGCCAGCTCCCTACGCTGGCAGGAAGCCTCTCGGCGGGGGGGGGGACATGGCTGCATATGTGCCTTCAGTTTGGCTGCTGCCGTGTGTCGATAGCACATCTTGTGTTCAGCGGAGTGTCGAACAGGGGAGGGATGTGTTGGATAATCTTGCGGGCGTGTTATCAGACACACACAGATGCACTGACGCACCGCATCTCTTGCACACAAAGGAAGAGGAGGCTGCGGTCGGTTTTGCTGTGTGTAAAGGCCTGGTGTTGTTGCTCAGGGGAGCGTGAGAGAATGGTACCCACCGCAGAAGGATCTTTGCATCCGTATCTCAAACTGCCTCTTTGCTGCGCTTTGACCTCCCCATCTGCCCAAAGGCAATACAGCTGAGCAGAGAAAATGATTTAATTAAGTAAAACCAAGGGAGGAATTCTTCCGCTGCTCTTTTCGCCTGTCTGGTTATGTCATCCCTCTCCAGCAATCGTTTATCTTTCTCATAAGGCTGTTTGAGCCAAAAAGTCAAGGCCTATCACTTCAGGTCAGTGTGGTGTCTCACGCGCTGCTGTTGGACATCGTGCCTGAGTCTCCCCTGTAGAGATGGAGACTGCCTGCATTTGTGATTCAAAACAATTGAGCAGACTTTATGCCCAGAATATGTCTCTGATTCGGACTGGGGGGGTTGGAGAGCAAGTAAACAAGCAGCCCTGACTCTCAGCATTTTTTTTTGCTCTCCCTCTGTGCCTGGAGGGTGCGATTGATCTGCCTGTGCCCTGTGCATGGGAGGAACAGGGCAAGGCCCCAGAACAGACCATTACACACTGGTGAGCTCACGAGGCTACTTCCTTCCCAACTCTGGTTATTGTGGCGCAGAACTGACTGATGTTGTGAGGCAAGAGGGTTGATATCCGTTAAGGATATAGGGCTGGAAGGTCCTCAAGCAGAAGTTTTAGGCTGGATATTAGAAGTCTAAATGTATGTTGGCATTCATGCAGTTTTGCAATTCCAGGCGGCCTTGACCTCCCTGATGTTTTGTACCTCTGAGCTCTGTATTAATAGTTGGGGGAAGGATATTTATTTTTTTAAATCAGTTTTTGATGATGTTGCTCTTTAAAATTGGTTATTTATCTGTGTTTCACTTTGCAATCCTAGCTGGGAGCTGGAAAAGTTTGAGGGAAAACATAATCTACATACTTTATTTTTCCAAAGCTGAAAAATGTTTACATAATTTAAAAATATGGTGTGCCTCCCACCATTTCTGGCCCTTTTTTTAGATACTGGCAGGGCTGATATTTCTAGCAAGGCAAAATAATTCATTTTTGGTCTTGGTTCTTAAGATGTTTTTTGTGCTAGCAGGGGGCTTTTACACTTGCCTTCACTGCTGCTATTTGTGACAAGTCTTTGCATAACTCTAGGGGTGATGCCTTGGTATACAGAAAGCAAATTACTTGGGATGTTTTCAGTTCACTGTGCTTTTGCACTCTCTGAATTCTCTAGTGCCCAGAGCAGGCTGTAAGAGAGGAGGGGAATGTGTTTCCCATGGCCTCTCCAAAGCCATTTTTAATTTTCCTGCTAATCCCTCTGCTTATCTTTTGTTCTGTTTCTTTCCTGCAGCAAGCAAAAATTAAGTCCCACTCACTGGAACACAGGAGCCAGGACCAACCTTTGTTACAGCCCAAACAGGTACGGTACTGCTGGCAGAGCTCTGAACCTAGCTCAGTGCTCACACCACCACAGGCAAGGACACGAGAAATCTCTGGATCCAGACAACTCTGCAGGGAGTAAATGACAGCCCAGACACCATTAGGGATGCTCAGCTTGAGGGATTCCTTTACGAAGATGAGATGGCTTGCTGGAGGTGTTATTTGAGAATGGCTAGACCTGTGTGAATTCAGGATAGATTCATAGGCCTGGACCGTGCTGGAGAGAGTCTCCAAATTGCAAAAAATTGAGCTGGAATGGCTCTCTGGAGTCACCTAAGTTCAAGGATTCAGCAAAGAGAATTTAATATCAGGTTCTAAGTCGTGTGCTGAGCTAAGTCGGAGTGAGTGATTGTGTGACCCATGGCTATGATTGCATGCAACCTGTGGGTCACAGGAGTTAATTCTGGGGCAGCCTGAAGGATGTTTGTGATACTGGGGTGGGAGGGGGTGGGGGGAATGGACAGAACAGAAACCAGTCGGCAGAAATTAAAGAAAAGCTGTTAATCTCTCCCCCACCCCCAGCCCAGTAGTAGCACCAGCCATCTGTCAGGTTGGAACCAGGCAGGAACAGGTTTGTTGCTGATCTTTGGCTCATTCCTGCTTGTTTCTGGAGGGATTCTTCTATAAAGATTTATGTTTTATTTTCTACCTCTTTGCCTCTTAAAACTCTTGTTTCAGGACATACTGGGTATTCTCCCAGTGGGGAGTCCGCTGACATCCAGCATCTCCTCTAGTATCACCTCCAGTCTGGCTGCAACACCACCAAGCCCTGCCGGCACCAGCAGCATCCCAGGCATGAATGCCAATGCCCTCCCTTTCTACCCAACCAGTGACACCGTTGAGTCTGTCATAGGTAACTTTGCCTTTTTTATTTATGCTAATAGGGCTTCCTCAGACGTGGATCACCAGGTATGAGAATTGGAATAGCTTGGGTGTTCCAGTGAACTCCAGTTTCTCGTCTCTGTCAGCGTTGGCAGATTCCTGAGGCTTTTTCTGTGACTGTGACACATCTGCTGTTTTCTGCAGGTCATTATGGATGAAATTCACCCACAGGACCAACAGAAGGCCTCTGAGCCACTTACTCAGAATGTCAGATGGTGTAAAGGGCCTTAGTTTTAGGTTTGTCAAAGTGACAAAGAGGTCTTGGAGGAGGCAGGAAATCACAGGGGTGTTTTCCACAGTTACTACCCCTTACATTCAAAATGACAATTTTATAGTGAGGGCTCCCACCAGGTAGATTGTAAGGACTTGCCCTTCACAGAGCGTAGGACAGAGGCTGTAAGGAAACAGAGAGCAGGAGAGTCCAGAGTGGAATCACTGCTCTTAGATAAGTACAGGTTTTTTGGTCACCTGTTTTTCCTTTTTTTTTTTAATCCAACGTTTCTGAGGTGATCTCACTAATTTGTTAAAAATAATAATAGAAAGGAGTGGGCAGGTGTGGGATGGAATTATATCGATCATGATTAGTGATGAGGCATGTTCAAATAGATAGAAAACTTGCAGGCATTCATAAGCTTTCTTTATTTTACCCTATCTTTGAACCTCAGAGATGTTTTTCAAGTGTTCCCTTCTACTTGTATTTCTTTTCTGAGTGGCTCTTCAGCAAAGCAGGGACAAAGCACAAGCCAGACCCAGACATGTCATAAGCCAGTGTTACAGCATATTATGGACAGACTTTAAAGAGCAGTTTGGAGAAGACTTATGGGAACTGCTGTTATTTCATCAAATGCCTGTTTTCTTATAACATTTGGGAATACTTTTGAGACAAAAAGAGATGAGATCAGGCAAAACCTGAACTGAAAAGCTGCCCATGACACTTCTGCCAAACTGTTTCAGAAGAGCGTTGTGCAGGGCGGAGAGTAGGGCCGTGCAGACTGACAAATAGCGAGCGAAGGCTCCTCTGCATGTAGGCTCTTTGGCCCATCCTATCTCTTGAAGTTGTTGGTCCTTTATAACATAATTGGTACCTCTGTGTCTGGCAGAGTCTGCCTTGGATGACCTGGACCTGAATGAATTCGGAGTGGCTGCCCTGGAGAAGACATTTGACAGCAGCACAGTGCCCCACACGAGTGGCATCATGATAGGTACATGAAAGCAACAGAGCTTTCTTTATCTTCTGCCAAGCAGTGTTGCCCAGTCACCTCAGTGGAGCCAGCCCTACAAAGCTCTAAAACCAGTCCCCGAATTACATTGGTTAAAACAATAATTATAACAAACTGGCAACTGCTGAGCATCTTTGAAGTGAAAGCTTGCCCTTATTGACTAGCAGAGCTGAGTTCTTGCCATTGGGCCCAAGTGTCTTGGGGATGTTTCTTGAGACTGAATGGGACTTGCTTGATGGTGGTGTGTGGTTTTTTTTTTTTTTTCCTGAAGTGTGTAAGAGGACTCTTGAAGGCATCTGATACCTTTTAAAACAGGCCAAAGTATAACAATTTGCATCTTAAGCAGAAAACCCTCCCTAGCAGTAACAGGAAGCTCACTGACCTGGTAATGCTATCCATCTGTCACAGAGTGTCATCAAGGTCTGCTGATTTGATTCCTGTAATGTCTGTCTCATTTTCATACGTGGAGGTAGGCTAAGGCCTCTTCTACCTGTCTCTAATGAATGTCCAGGGAAAACTAAACTGTTTCATAACTTTTGGAAGTGGTTGTAGTTTCTGGCCACCCTTGCTGTGTAAAACAGGTTTTTGAACGGGAGCTAACTTTGGTTGTCTGAAGGTTTCCAAGGGGGCTACACTGCCTGGAGTTGTACTGTGGAAGAAACCCTAAAGAATATCACTTCCACTTCCCTGCCAAAGATAAGAGCCTGGTTGGAGAGTTTGCTGTGCATGTCTGCTGATAACCCTGCTTCTGCTGCTACCCATCTGCAGCGGTTGAGAAGTCCTCCACACTGCTTTTCCCTCTGTTCATGTCAGGTCTGGGTGGTACCTGGTGATCTTCTAAAAAGGGAGATCAGGAGACAGTGGGGAGCAGGGCTGAGATCTCCCTCCATCTGTCTGTGGCTGGCAGAATGACCTTTGCATAAGGGAAGTGTGATGTCTTTCGAGGTTGGGTTTTTGTTTATTTGGGTTTTTTATTACTGATAGATTCAGGCACTTTAGGTCTAAAATGACTAATGCTAGTCACTGATTTTTAGTGGTTAAGATCAATGACCTGACCCAGCATGAGCATCTGCTCACTGCAGGTTGTTGGAAGTATTAAAGGCAGAAGCATGTGTTTTTAGAGGTGAATTTTTCATTGCTAAGTATTTTATCAGATACCAAATTAATCTTCTCTGGACTGACAGGGACTGAGCTCTGCTCAGAAAACTTTTTGTTGCTTTGGCTGATGTCAGAGTAGTCTCCGTTGAACTCTGGAGGGTCTTAACCTACGTGGTTCATGGGATGGCAACTTCAGAGCTCCTCTTAAAGGCTGAGAGGGGAATGAAACACCACGACAAGAAGCAGAGGGAGTCCCGAGGGGTTTAGGGAGGAGGAAGGGAACCTAATGCCTTCTGCTCTGAACTCCTGCGCTGTGCCCATGCTTCACAGTCATACATAGCCATCCTCTCTGTGTGTTCTTTGTCCAGGTGGGAGTTTGCTGCAAAGTTCTGCTCCTGTAAATATCCCCGGGTCCCTTGGAAGCTCTGCCTCCTTTCACTCTGCCTCTCCTTCTCCACCGGTCAGCCTCTCATCGCATTTCCTTCATCAGCCCCAGGGACACTTAAGCCAATCAGAAAACACGTTCCTGGGGACATCAGCTTCTCATGGATCATTAGGTAAATGCACAGTGTGTGTGTCCCATGTACATGCCTGTCTGTGCCATGTAAGTATTTTCTTTTAAGTCAGCTTTAATTTTAATGTGTTATTTCACTGCTGCCATTTGTATCTTTTCTTCCCATGAGAACAGCAACAGCCCTAGAAGCTGCTCTACCAAAAATCAGCTAATACCTTGTGAGCAAGGGAGCATTTCCCTCTGCTTCCCGTGGATCTAGGTTGAGAAAAAAGGACAGATAATTTTAGGAGACTCATCCTGATGGTGAATTTCAGGGAAAAGAGCTCTCTCTGCCTTTTCCTGCCACCAGTGCTGTGCCAAGACTTCACTTTACATGAAACTCAGAGTTGGGTCCTCAGCTTTGCTTATTTAGGGGTCTGGGGAGGAAGGATGCTGGAGAGGAAGAGAAGAGGGAGGATGCTGGGGAGGAAGGGCAGAGGAAGGATGGTGGGGAGGAAGAGTGCTGGGGAAGAAGAGCAAAGGAAAGGTGCTGGGGAAGAAGAGCAGAGGAATGATGCTCAGGAGGAAGGAAAGAGGAGACATTCTGGGGAGGAAGAGCAGAGGAAAAGTGCTAGGGAGGAAGGATGCTGGGGAGGAAGCTCAGAGGAATGATGCTCAGGAAGAAGGGCAGAGGAAGGATGGTGGGGAGGAAGGATGCTGGGGAAGGAGAGCAAAGGAATGATGCTCAGGAGGAAGGGCAGAGGAAGGATTCTGGGGAGGAAGAAGAAGGATGCGCAGGAAGAAGGGCAGGTGAAGGATTCTGGGGACAAAGAGCAGAGGAAGGGGGCTAAGGAGGAAGAGTGCTGGAGAGGAAGGGCAACGGAAAGGTGCTGGGGAGGAAGAGCAGAGGAATGATGCTTGGGAGGAAGGTCAGAGGAAGGATTCTGGGGAGGAAGAGGAGCGGAAGGATGCTCGGGAGGAAGGGCAGGGGAATCATGGCACTCATGGGGCTGGGGTGCACGGGGGGACCCCTCTGCTCCCCTGGATGGAGCATCCAGCCCCCACTCACCTGCAGCCGAGGGCGGGGGGGTGCTGTGGGGGGCGATGCTGGAGGCACCGAGGGGCAGAGCAGACACGGGTCTCCTGCGCTGCCTCTGCACTGCTCGGTCCAAGCTCTGCTGCTGCAGAAGGAAGATGAGGAGAAGCCCATGGGCAAGCAGAAGGTGGGACCCCATCCTTCTTTGCCCCCCCGGGGGCTGGCATGGTGTGGGGGGGGAAGGTCCATCAGCAGAATGACAGAATCACAGAATCACAACAACCACCAAACCAAAAACCATCACCCACCCACACAGCACCCCACCACAAACCAGTAATCTTGGGCACTAGAGCAGGCCCTGAAGAGCCATGTCTACACGTTTCTTAAATACCTCCAGGGATGGTGACTCCACCACCTCCCTGGGCAGCCCATTCCAATGGCTGAGAACCCTTTCAGTAAAGAAATGGTTCCTAATATCCAACCTGAACTTCCCCTGGTGCAACTTGAGGCCATTTCCTCTACTGCTTATAGGTCAGATTGGCTTCTGGGAGCTCTAGAGCAGACTTGGGTCATTGTATTTTTTTTTCTCCTGTTTGACACTCTGCTCCCAGTTTTGCAGCATGGACTTTGCAAAACATTACAGTGTTCCAGATTTGTCCCCTTTGCTCCTTTTTCTTTCCCCCTCTTGAGGATCTGTTGCCTGTATGAGGGACTGTGACGGGAAGAGAAATGGTTTGGAAGCTTCAGCTGTATCAGGCAGAACTGGGAACTGAGGGGCCAGCTCTATTTGATTATCCAGATGCAGGATTACCTTGAGAAATAAGACTTGTTTGATGGGCTCAAGGCTACTACAGTGACACTTGATCTGCTGATTTCTGTGCTAGTAACACTAAATGTTAGTTCTCTCTGTTGATACGAGATATAAATACTTCTTCAAATTTGAGATACACTTTAATCTTTAATATTCAGCTTAAGCTAATAAAATGATTACATGCCTTTGTAATCTGTTTCTGCATGCACTTACCTGTGTAACTGCATCCCTTGTTTGCGTAGGTGAAAACCATGCTTCCATGCCTTGCAACTGCTATTTGTTTGGCTTTAACAGCTTTTACAATTATTGTAATAAGAAAAGAGACATCAGAGGGCATCTCTACTATTATTTAGTGTTGAGGCTGGCTGTCCATCCCAGTTTCAGTAAGAAAAGGCAAAGTTGCTGATAAGGCCTGCTTTTAATTTCAAAAGCAACAAGTTAAGCAGTTATATTTGTCTTGACTATGTAGTTATACAAATAAAGCAAAAGAAAAATAGGAAATGCACAAATGCATTTAAATAGCTTATTTTAAGAAAAAAGTTGGATATATTCCTGTAATACAACAAAACCATTTTTGCTGAGGTTTTGGTAAGATATTTATATAGTAACCTAGCAGTTGGGAATCTAGAATCTGTCTGTTCTGTGCGACTTGCTGAATGAACATGAGTTAGTGTGTGTAGCTGTTGCTTATTTGTATTGCAATTAACTTAAAAATACCTAGTCCTGGGCTGGTTCCCGCTGTGCTGGATGCAAAATGTGCAGAGAAGGCATTCCTGACCAAAGGGGCTTGCTACCTCAAATGTGAAATAAGAACAGCAGGTGGAAAGAGGGAGTAAAAAGAAATGACAAGATAAGCTTGGTCAGCGTTACAGCGGAATCCAAGGTTCTCTGACATCCTGCTTAGGGCTAAGTTCCTGTTCAAGAGATGCGGAGTTTTAAAAATAAAGTCTGAGTGGGGATTCCATTAAAACTTCTTGCTTTCAAATGAGCACACTTCAGAGCAGCTGAAATGGGTCTATGGTAAGTGGCTTGAGCCAGCGAAGATCCCTGACTGCTCTGCTAAATGACTTGTGAATACACTGAAGTCCTTAGTGAAGAGGAGCTACTATTTTTCACCTATATATATATTTTTTTTAAACTCTTTGTGTCTCAGCTGGTACTAAATAGGATGTAAGTGGTGCTGGGTGAGCCCTCAGTGAGAGGCCATTGGCTTGCTTGCAGACACCATCGGTTCAGCTGCTGTAAGCTCAGAATTATCAAATACAACTAGATTTAGGAATGTCCACAGCCAGTGGTGAGCAGCAGTAAATGAAAACGACTCCTATATCAAACTGATCTCATCTCTGTGTGTGTAAGAGCTCACATCACTCAGTAGCTCTGTTCCAGTATGAGCTTTTCCTACTAGCTCTCCCCTGAGTGTAGAGTGTGGATGCTTATTTTAAGTAAATATATTTTTACTATTGAAAGAGTACAAACCTTGGGAGTCTGTGAAAAATAGCCAACTGGTTTTCTACCGCTTTGTCTCCTAAGCCTTGAATTTATTCCTGAAAATAGAAATTATTTGAATGAGCTGAAATAGAGAAGTGGTTAGTTAGTGGTCTCCAGTGCCAGTCGCTGGCTTTGTGCCTGAACTCTGCAGGGGATGAAGCTGCTGTATGTACTGTTGCCTCCACCTGTTTATAAACAGGGTTTTCCAGTTAGTGCTGGTTCTTGCATATGCAAACGGTAATGACGTTGGTGCATTTTAGTCTCACTGTTCGGGAGGTGAGACCAAGCTGAGGAGACAAAATCAGAAATTTTCTTAGGGCATAGTGTGAGAGGAAGCACCACCTGGGCTGGTTTGTGAACCAATCTGTCACCAGTGCTGATGGCTGTGCTGCACAGGAAGGTGGGAAGGCAGTAAGCAGTTCAGAGGTTCTCATGTGAGAAGGGGGATTCAAGCTAATAGTCAGCTCAGCTCTAAAATTGATGCTTCTAAAAACAGCCTGGTTCAAAGGCTGCCTCCACTCACTGTCTTGGGTCCTGCCTCTGTCATTAACGATGAGGCCTAATGGTGTGAAACTTCCCCTATAAAGTTCCTCTGTGGCAGACTCCTGGGTCCTGGGGATGAAATGAATTCTTAAGGTGATCTACTTTTTCCCCTACGTACATGTTTTCGAATCCTGGATTTCACAGGGGTAGGGAGGGAATGGGGAAATTGCCAGCACCTGTGACATAACCCTCTCTATTTCCCTGTGAAACAGGTTTAAATGGGATGAACAGCAGCATATGGGAACACTTTGCTTCGGGGAGTTTTTCGCCCAGTACCTCACCTGCATTTCTGTCAGGTCCAGGTGCTGCGGAGCTGGCACGGCTACGACAAGAACTGGATGAAGCCAACGGCACAATAAAGCAGTGGGAAGAGTCTTGGAAACAAGCCAAACAGGTACTTGGGCAATTCCTGGGAAAGAAGGATTAGGGGAGTGTAAAGGAGTAGGAGGGTGTCAGCCTTTTCAACAGGAGCATTCCAGACAGTGAGGTGATGGGAAGAGCTGTGGGTTTTTACAAACAGATTCTCTTACACGTTCTTATTATTCCTGATGCCTTGGAAAGGGGGGGACTGAGTCACTGTGCTTGATGTGTTGAGATGCTGGTTGTGCAAGGCCAGGTGTCACAACGGCTGCACTGAGGTGTTTGACAGTCTTTTGGACCTGGCAATTGCCTGAGATCCGTGACAATTTGCCAGTGTGCAAAGTTCATCCTCTTAACGGTGTGAGCCAAATATATAGAACCCCAGCCCAACCAGATGGGGTAAATGAGCAGCTCTTTAAGGATATTTCAGATTTTGGGAACAGGGCAGATTGGACAGAGCACGCTCCTGGTAAGAAGTCTGTGGAAATGGATAGTTATGCCAGGGATTCTCTATTGGAGCCTGACTGAGTTTTCCCTCTCCTCCTTCTCCCCTCTTTGTTGGAACCTGTAGGCTTGTGATGCTTGGAAAAAGGAGGCAGAGGAAGCAAATGATCGCGCCAACACAGCTAACATGGAATGTGAACTGGCCCGGGAGCAGAGGGAAGCCTTGGAGCTGCAAGTGAAGAAACTGCAGGAGGAGCTGGAGAGGATCCACACAGGCCAGGACCCTCAGTTTCTACGCTCCTTCTCTGACCTGGAAACACTCTCACTCTCTTCACTTTACACCCTTCAGAAACAGCTGCGGGCAAACCTGGAGAAAGTCGATAAGGTGAGTGCCAGGGATCTGCAGGGCAGGGCTTTGCTCTCTCTGCTCCTACAGGTCGTGGCTTTTTTTCCCCTTTTCTTTAATACAGCCAGAAATCAGCACCCTTTCAAAGCAATTCCATGTGGATGTAGGCAAAAGTGAGCTTTAGCCAGCTTACAGGAAAACACCCACCTCTTCTTTATGTCTAAAGCGCAGAGTTTTAAGTTAATCAAAGCTGCTCTGTTGAACCTAAAGGTCCTAAAGGACATTGTGCTGTGCTGCTTCGCTTTTGCTTCCGAAAATGAGTGGGTGGATGCTGTGGGTCCTTCCCCTGCTGCCTCCTTGCTGTTCCCCAGACCGGGTGGCGCAGGACGGCAGCCTCTTTGCTCTGTGACCTGGATGCTTAACGTTTCGCCCTGTCCTCCCCCTCTCTTGCAGGCGGTATTTCAGATGCAGTCAGTGAAATGCCTTAAGTGTCAGGAGGAGAACCGGGTGTTGTTACCGTGCCAACACGCCGTGCTGTGTGAAACCTGCGCCGAGGAGGGCGAGTGCCCCATCTGCCACCCCAACAGGCCCCACTCTCTCCAGTCGTGACCTTCCGAGGACACTCGTTCTAATCATATCGTATAGGACTTTTTAACTTTATACATACGTAGATATATATGTATGTGTACATATATATATGTATGTGTATATATATATGTATATATGTGTGTGTATGTGCCTGTTTGTGTATGTGTGTATATATATGCACACACACGCACATACACACATAAAACAAAAATTAGTTGCAGAGCACTTTTTAATATTTTACATCCCGTATCTAAACTGCCCCTCACCCGTGCCCCACTAATTCTAACTCTTGAGGAACTTTGAGAGCTGTTTTTAATACAGATCAAAGGGCCATTTGCAAAGAGTCTGTGTTTCTCCTCTTTTTCTATTTAGGTGATAACAAATTTTTGACTATTTCCAGAAGGATTTAGAGTGGGCAAGAGGGGCTTCCACGTGCTTTCCAGAGGGAAGAGTTGAGATCACAGGGAGGATCAAGGTGGATTGAAATGACTTGTTGGTGTCTTCAGTCTCCCTTCTCTTTCACTGACCCAGCTTGGTTAAAGCTGTCCTCCCTGATGGAAGCTCTGCTGGGTGCCTGCCTGGTGGGCCTCACGTTGCCGATCTCTGAATGTGCAGGAACTTTGTCTGCCATTTAATCAGCAAAGTTCGCTTTTTAAATTTTTTTTACACTCTTTGTATATTTGTATGAAAAGAAGAAAAGGGGGGAGGGAGGGAAGTATTGGATCTAGACCAAGCCAAGCCCCAAAATTCAGTGACTAATGTTCATTGCTGATACAGCAAACACGTTCCAGGTCTGAGCAGCCTTAGAAGTATTGCTCTTGGGTCAGCTCAAGTTCTTTATGAAAGGAACACGGATGCAAGGTCAGTTGTCTCCAGGCACCCCTTTGTCTAGAGACTTTTGACTGTTTCAGACCAGATAAATCTTCTTTTAGCCATGGGGACCTGTTTCATAGTCACTGCTGAAATGCATGAAACAATTCCAGGTAGTCAGGCCACCTTTCTTGAACAGAGTTGATGTTTCCTGTGAGCATCTCCAGGATGGGTTATGGATTGCTGAGTCCAGAAGCCCTCATGCTTCATGATCACGTACACCTGTGGTGACAGAGAAAGTCCAGCGTGACAAAGAAACGCCACCAGCTTAGACCTTACCAGTAGCTGAGCTTTCCTGTGACTTTCTTTACCAGTGTGTCCATTGGGTTTTTACATCAGGTGGATTGCAGTAACCTGCTGGGATCTCAACCAAAAGGCCACTCAGTTGATTAAACATTTTTATTTTGCACAGGGAATACTGCCTGTGCCACCCCTCCCTGACCTGGAAAAGCACTGGAACCTCCAGCAGCCCACTGTTGTAGGAAAACTGAATTTTTACCGGAGCCTCTCAGAAAGCTTCATATTTAATGCAAAGACATAATTAGGTTTGCTTCCATAATTCCACCTTTCCTTTACATGGAAGGGGTTAATATGCATTCCCAGATGATCTCTTAAGTGCAGCTCTGTGTAGTTCTTTTTTATGTTTTTCCCATTAACTTGTTTTTGGGTTTTTTGGTAAAAATGCTTTTTTTTCCATGTGTATTTTATTGTAACTAGCATCAGTTTTTTTAATTTTTTTTTATGGAGAGACACTGTTGAGTGATTATTGTGGCTATGTTGTTTGGTTATAGCCTTTGAATGTCTGTGCCATGGGGCAGCACATCTGCCTTGGTCTGATCTTAAAGAAAGACCTTTTATTAAAATACGTGAACATTTCTTTTTCTAGGAAAAAAAAAAAAATAAAGAAAAAAGTGGGGGGAGGAGGAAGAAGCCCAATTAAGATAAAAAATTTACTAAAAAGTTTTTGTAACTAACTTAAGTCATAAGAAATAAACTCTTGAATCGGGTCTTTAATATTTATAAGAAGCAGAGCTGATCAGCCCGTTTTGGCTATTGGTTTGTAACAGTTTTTGTTAGCGTGGTGGTTTATCTGCTCTGGGGGACCGGTCAGGGTGATGCTGCCTCTGGCTCTTGAATCGGGTCTTTAATATTTATAAGAAGCAGAGCTGATCAGCCCGTTTTGGCTATTGGTTTGTAACAGTTTTTGTTAGTGTGGTGGTTTATCTGCTCTGGGGGACCGGTCAGGGTGATGCTGCCTCTGGCCAGCCCTCAATTTTCGGAACTCTCTGGCACTTGGCTGCGTTTGATTCCCACAGGGGCTCTTCACTTTGTCCCTTCTTTTCAGAAGAAACTTGTCCCCCGGTGGCAGCTGTGTCTGTCTCATTGGGATGTCCACTCCCCCTGTGATGCAGGGCTGTCGGGTCGAGGGGGAAGAGAGAATTTGCCCCCAGTTTCCGTGGGGTCGCACTGCTTCGGCAGGGGGGGCGCAAGGAAAATTCCAAGACAGAGAAAGCACGTTTTTCCCTTTTGAGTAAAACAGTTTCTCTGTTTTAAAACTTACACTGAAGGACCAAAGAATTCAAAGCTTCCCCCCTTTGTGGCCCTTAAACTTTGACTTTCCATTGCCACACTGTACTCATGGCAGAAGAGCCTGAAGGAATTAGCACTAGCCCCTTCCCTTGCCCCCACCCCAACCTATCTCAGCACTCTCTTTGCACAAGCACATAGACTATTTCTCGCTTTCCTCTGGTTCTTTAAGAAACACTTTCTAAATTTAGGTTTCTATCAATTTGTTTGCTGCTTTAAAAAAATATATAAAATATCTGAAATGTGAATTATTTTCTTAAGCATCAGATGGAAAAGAGAACTTTGACCATTTTGTGAATATTTTAGGGGGCCACTTATGTGACAATTCTGAAACTGAGGTGAGAGCAGGGGGAAAGGGTGGTGTTTCTGACCCACTCCGGGGAAGGCTGAGCTGCAATCACAGCGCTGCATTTAAGGCTTAGGAGTCTGGGCTCGGCTTCTGTGTGCTGTAAGAAGAGTCTTGTTGAAATAAACCTGGTGCTAATATGTACAGCCCCTGTAATGTACTGTCACGCTTCCTTCTGAAGCAGGACCTCCCTTTTACAGGACACACAGTAACACATCAGACCCAGGAGGGGCTTTTTTTGGCCGAGTCATGGCTTCCAAATGAAATTTTGGTCCGCAAGGCTCCTGGCTGAGCAGCCCAGCTGGCTGCTGCTGAGCAGCCCTGAACACTCCTGGGTCCTGCCTCTTCGTACAGACTCCTTATTGGATAGTGACATTTTCCTCCCCAAATTTTTGGGAGCGTCGGAAGCGTTGACCTCAGTGACTAGCTGTGCAGGTTGGACGCTTCTGAGCTAATTTCTGGGGGAAGGGAGTCTTAATAGTGGTGTGAAACCACAGAATCTTAAAGGTCAATAAACTTTTGCATTATTATGGAAGAACAATGTAGAAGCAGATGGCTCAAGCCGCCACTATCCTGGGTACATAGATACCAAAAAGCAAGGTTAGAGCTGTAGATGAGAGCCAGGAGCTGAAGAATTTTGGCATCGCTTTGGGCTGACAGGACCACTTTTAGATCATCTCTAGCCTTAGCTGATGTAGCCACGGGCCAGCTGTGGCACAGGAGGGACTGGGGGAAGTCTCAGAGCTGGAGCACAACATTTTCCTTAAGCAGATTTCCCCCCTACCCTGGCCCTGAAGGGGAGTTGCTGCAGCTGCTCCCCTGCCAGAGGGTTTTATACTTTCCATACATCTCTGAAGCTGAACCTGAGCCGCTTGCAAGGCTTGGGTGGCTGAGACCACGAAGAGAAGTCCTTCCCCTGTGAGGAAGCCCATAATGCTGAATGGACTCAGTAATTCTTTGCTGTTCCACCAGCCTCCGAACCTCCTCTCTTTCTCCTTTCCCTCCCCCACCTGAGAAGGAAGAATATTACCAGTGTTTTCCTCCAGAATTATAATAATCCTTGGAGTGATGGCCAACAGCAAACTAGATGTTACTGATGTAAAACCTAGTATTTTAAAGGTGAAGTATTCCTGCAAACTAGTGACTGCATCGGAGAGATTTCTGGGGCTTCCCCACTCCGTAGCTTCCAATGTTAAAACAAAATAAATACAGTATACGTTTAAAAAAAAATAATGATGATAATAATAATACTACTACACACTGCAGTATTTCTGGTGGCGATTCCTGACCAGTCTCTTCCCCGCTTTCCCCAGGAGGAAGGGCACTGGGCAGAAGAGCCCCTAGTCCGTGTAGAAGTTGGCAGAATGGTGATCGGTGGTGTGTAAAACGTGTTGTTGATTCCATGTATAGAACTGTGATTTCAGCTGTCGTTCTCTCGTACTCTGTAAATATGTGTTTTGGCTGTCGGAAACCTGGTTTAGACTCTTTTCTTGGCAGAGTGAATTTGCATGTGGGGCTGGAAAGAACTCAATCTGTGTCACAGTTTCCAAGGGCAGGATGGATTTTTTTTTTTAGAGGACAATAAATTTTTATTTTTTTGCTAAGAAAAAAAAAAAATAATCTAATAAAGCAGTGTGTGTGTGCGTGTACGCGTGCCCGGGGTGTATGTGCAGCCCCGTGCCCTGCTCTGGGGCTTGGGGAGCAGTGGAGAAGTCTGGGCGATGGAGCCCTTGATGGAATACATCTCCGTGGCCAATTTTGCCTTCTCCCTTGAATGAAACCAATAATTTCTTCCTGAGCTCCCTTCTTTGGGATCAAGCCCCTTTTTTTGGGAGCAGGGGGGGTTGTCCTTCACCTTTGTGATTGAGGTGCAATGGCAGAGGGGGAGAGTCGGTGCGGTGCGGTTGGTGGGGGCTGAGATTTTGTTGGAAATGGTATAAACCACAGAGGAAAGAGTGTTTTATCACCCAGATTCTGGGTCCTGACAAGAATTTAACTCTCAGGGTCTCCCCCAAGAGCTGGGGTGGGGGGAAGTGAGCTCTGCCTCCTCCTGTGCCTGTGCATCAGGGGGTGCCAACATCTACATCGTTACATACATAAGTTCATCTGTTGGCACCCAAAAGAGCATGCCTTACATATGGATCTAAGTATTACCTTTCATTTTTGGTCTAATTAATGCTTTGAAGCTGCGTCAATCACTTACCCTTAGTCCAATCACAACAATAATCCAAATCATCCAATTTAGATTATTAGTAACACAATAAAATCAGTAAACGTAGGTTCCTGCCCCCTTCCCTCTTGTGTGGCAGGGATCTGCCTGGGCTGGGGCTCCTCACCAGGAGGAGGAGGATGATGGGAGTTTCTTCCTCCCCAGCCTTGCATTTGTTGGAATCTGGTTTTAGGCTTCAAGCCATGTTTTTTAATGCTTAGAGTGTTCTCCTCCTGGTCAAGGGGGTGAGTTACCTTCTGATCATTCAAGGTTTATTAGTCCTTTCTCTATAAAGCATATTATTTCTTCTGGGGTGGGAAAAGCCTTACACAGCTGCCTGGAACCTTAAAATTAAGCTAAACCCCCTCGGGTAACACAGCACAAACAGAGCAAGGACCCTGCTCTGGAATCTTTTCTCTCTGCAGAGCTAGAAGGACAGAAAGGAGTGATTTAAGCCAGCAAATGGCTTCCTCGTGAGCGAGCAGCGCCTTAATCCCTCCTGCTGTGGGTTCGGGTGAGCCTGGTCGTGTCCTATTGATGCCAAAAGGAGCTTTTTTTATTTATTTTTTTCCTCCCCCCTCCCACCCACGCATCGAGGGCTTGGCCTGAATTGACCCAGCAGTTGCTGAGCCCACCCAGAGCAGCTGCTTCTCCGGTACCCAGGAGGGTGATGCTTTTAATTCCCCAGGGACCCACAGCAGCTCAAGCACAGCCACCCCCTCGCAGGGTTTTGGGAGGGAGGGACAGGGGGCAGAGGGGACTCTGGATTTCTAATTACTAATAATTGCGGTTTAAAAGCTCCAGAATACCCCAGCAAATATTTAGCAGCCACCTGCCCTGCGGGGTGTTTTTGCTGGACCACCTCACCCTGCAGAGCTGCTGCCAGCCAATGTCCCCACCAATGTCCCCTGTGTGCTACAGCAGAGGGACACAGGGCCCTGTCACAGGCTGGGGACAATGCCAGGGTCCTGCTCGCTGCTGCCCAGGCTCCAGCAAGCCCAAATCACCACATGGTTTGGCTGATGGAGCCACGATGCTCTTTATGGCTGCCCAGGCTCCATTGAGCTCCCTCCGCTCCAGCAAAGCTGCCCGAGGTTGGTACAAGTGGTGGTAAAATACAAAAACACAGAAGAGCTGTGCACATTTAAAAAAAAAAGAATTTAAAAACCCCAACAAGCTCAAAACCAAAAAGCCCTGTGGAAAACCATGTGCCCAGGGAGGTGCCAGGTCCAGAGCCAGCAGTGGTAGGGATGGCTTCAGCACCATGCAGCCCTGAGGACACCCAGATCAGCCCCGAGGACACCCAGATCAGCCCTGAGGGCACCCAGATCACACCCAAGGACACCCAGATCTGCCTGGGGCCCTTTTGCCACCACCGACCCACCACGTGCTGCCCATCCTAAGAGCCTTTTGCCGTGCCTGAGCCAGACCTGGGGCTTCATCAGGCTCTTTCACACCCCAAAGACCCAGCTCCATCACCAGGATGACGGGCACCAGCTGTGCTGCATCCTCAGCCCAAAACCTGTGGTGGCAGCTTCCCCAGCCCTTTGATTTACACCTGGCTCCAGGTGACACTTTGTGTTGGGCTGTAACTCAAACTGACCCTACACCCAAATACACCCAAGTCCTCGCCGAAGCCTCGGCCATCACCACAAAGCACTCTTCCCCCCTGGCACTACACAGACTCAGCCCACGCATCAGCTTTGGTGCTTTTAATTTAAAATAAGAGGCTTATCCACAAGGGGAAAAAAAAAAAAAAGGGAAAAAAAGGCAGGTTTGGCCACGTGTTGT